TGGAGGAAATGATAGAGAAAGGAATGAAAACACCTCAGCTTGATTACAACAAGTTTGCTGCTGATTTTTCTAGAGGAGGGAGGCCTGAGATACTTGAGGAGTTAGCTCAAAGGATGAAATTTTCTGGTAAATTTGAAGTGTCCAATGTCTTTTCCAGGTGGGCAGAGATGATGAAGAAAAGGGTCAAGAGAAGAGAGACTACAAAATATAGTAGACAGTTTTCATGAATATCTGATTGCCATACTGGTGGCCAGAACCTCTTTGGCCTGATATTACAATAGTTGTATCCAAGATGGTATCTCAGTTATTTGCCTGCAACATTATGCATTTAATATGCTAGGCTTATTTCCTTCCTATCGTAGATGTCCAATAGTGTTTCTGGATGATAAAGTTATCGGTTTGGGAATCCTTTCTCACTTGGGCACTTTGTTCTCTTGAAGGATTGCCAGTGATGTAGTTCCAATTGATTTGCAAAAGACAGAGTTATGTTGTTAGGTCTCCAGTATAATCAATGTTGAAAGCCAAGCTGATTCTTTGGGTGCGACACTTGTCTTGTTCATATTTGGTATCATGTTATTTGGTCACTGGCTAACCAGGATTGTACGATAACAGTATTAGTTTGATAAGTGCATTGTTGATAATTCCTGTAGTTTTTTTGGATCTTTGTTGTTTTATTATGCACTTGATGGCAAAATCGATATCTATATGAACATGAGCGCAGAAGAAGCTAACGGAAGTCAACCTAGGTAGGAATAAACATCATCAATCAATTTTAACAAAGTTCGATATCCAGCCAATGTTCCCCATCTACAGCAGATGACTAGTTTTTAATCTTGGCGGGCTTCTAGGTTGGTTCAAACTTTCCCTCCTACTAGTTTCTTTTTTATCATGCTTTTCATCTGCCCATGCTTTCCCATTCTCATTCGGGTTCATGCTAATGTTTTACTTGGTTCCCATGAATTCTCTCCCGTGCTGTTCCATCCAAGGTGGCGTGCTTGAAAACTTTCTGCAGTACGTGTAAGGGCGTGCTCTGCCGCCATCCCTAGTGGTGGAAGAGCCTTTGACTTTCCCTTTACCCTCACTGGGTGAAGTGTCTGATTGCTGCTTCTGGGATTGCGAGAGAAGAATTGAAGGAGGCGCGATCCCATTATAAACCTTATTCTTCGATCGTTGAATTAACTTATTCAACTTCTACAGGTTCTTAAGTTCTCGCTCTCTCTCATTTTCTGCTTGCTGCTATGCCATTTCTATAGATCACGATATGTATTCCAATGGCCCTTGGGGGTTTGGATTATAATTTTCAAATTAAAATGTGCTATCAGAATTTATTTTCATTCTGAAACAGTGATAGGCAATCGCAATAGTTACCTTATAAGTCCTAGAGAAATTAATCTCACAAATCATTACATTGTTGGACTTGCTCTCTGTGCTTTAGGAAATATTTGTTCAGCAGAAATGGCTTGTGATCTTGCACCAGAGGTTGAGATATTGATGCCATTTTGAGATCCAAATATTCGTAAGGTGGCTAATTTATTTCCTTTTTGAAGTTTTTGTGTGTCTCAAACTTTGAATTTGATGGATATATTGGATTTTATACATGTATATTGATATATTACGTATGGTAAGGGGAGAAGAGAAGAGGCCCTGATTGCTTCTTATTGTTTCAAAGTGACTCCTAGTTGATAGCTGCAACTTATAATTCTCTATTCAAAAGCGGTCAACTTTCACTTGTCTGTTGTATTCCCCCCCACCCCCAAAAGAAAATGGCTTATTTGTCTTGTTTGTTTGATTTAATAAATATTTTGGTCCCTTTTAGCGTAGTTGTTGTTTATAATTGTTCTTGTACATGCTTTGTGGCAATGTAGTAATTTCGTATACCATGAACTCTCTACCATGTTAGTAGAAAAATCAGATGGTGCATATGGAGTCTTACTGTGTTCATATTTTTCCTTGGTTTTGTTTTGCCATGATTTCTGATGGAAATAGTGAAAGGCACTATTATAAACTGGTTTGTTTATAATGCTGAATATATTAGATTGTAGTTAATTAAACATAAAAACCCCCTGCTGAAAACAATGTCTTGTTACGTGTGGCCTACAAAACGTTTACTTTCTAGAACAATTTAATTTCGGTATTTGTGATTTGAATGTCACATGGTTATGCCATTTCTTTTAAGAGAGAATGATAGAGAGGTCCGAAGGGGATCCGAATTAGGTCCCAAGCTTTAAGAATTTGCAAATTCAGTTTTTATTTTTGTAATTTTGTTATGATGAATTTGCAATTTTATTCCTATTAAAATTTAAAACATAAGTTGTAAATTCATCGTAATGAAATAGTAAAATTAAGAAATGAACTTGTAAATTCTTGAAGCTTGTCACTTAGGACTTAATTTGAATTAATTAGTCCTCTAAGGACTTATTTGTCATTCTCCCTTCTTTTAGACATAGCTTTAATTGTTAGGAGCGTTCTATAATTAGTCTCTGATATTTACTTGTACTAACTTAAGCTTCAATTGTTAGGGGCGTTCTATAATTAGTCTCTGATATTTACTTGTACTAACTTAAGCCAATAGCCTTGAATAATAGAAATTTATTATAACCATGTGAGTTTGAGTAGATTCTTCATTGAAATTTAAAAGCTAAATCATAAATCGGAAATCATTTCTTAGCTAATAACATGTTCTCAGGTATCACACTTCAATTGAAGCAAAAGCTCCTCTCCTTCAATTTGTTGTTGCCAATTAAACTACTAGCTTGTAAAATTTCATGTTGTGCTCAAACGGAAAATGACTGATTACGTTTCTGGTGAGTCAACTGTGAACTTCAATTTGGAGTGACATGGTCCCCTCGAAAAGGATACATTGTTAAAATATATTAGGAGGTTGGTATAACTGAATTTTTGGTATCAAATAAAATTTCATACAGGCACTCATTACATGCTATGATGATTTCAAATTTAATATAATGAAGTTATTATCTAATCATTGTATCCAACTTTCTGATTGGAACAACTTCATAATCATTCTCAGCAGTCTATCGGGCTACATTCCATGGTGCTGTGACTTTCATTTGGGGAACGTATGGCCCTGGATCATTAAATCGTTCGTCATGAATAATTAATTATTTTTTAGATTCAAGAATCTAGTGGCCGCCATCTTCTCATTTAACATCATCCTTGGACTTGTTTACTACCATGGGGAGATTAGGGGTGTTCACCCTTATCTCAAAATTCGTACTGTTCAGTTTGAGAATTGAGATGGGACTAGGACATCCTAGTAAACCAAACGAAGCATAAAGAAGATATCTGAGTAATAATATTTATTAAATGATATAATTTGTTAAGTCAAAAATTAAAACAATATTGGTACATAAATTTAATCATTAGGCAACAATAATTATAATTTAAAGTAAAAGAACATAATTATAGCAACCACAATTTAAAGTAAGTGCACAATAACCACAAATAACTTTTTGGCTAAAAATATTATAACAATAATAGAATCATTGAGTTATATAACTTAAATTGAGCAGATGGGTATCCACAAGAATTATAAAATAAATAAATGAAGTATATTAGAATTATGAAATAAATAAATAAATAATATATACTTTGACTTTAACTAAACAAATAAAATATTAAACATTAACAAAAGAAAATAAAAAATATTCTTGCCCCAAACAAATTTTTGCCTCACCTTACAAAGTTCTGTCTCCTCTCTCTCTCTCTCTCTCTCTCTGTGGTTGGAAGGGACACAGTTGTCCCAATGTAATTGAGATGAAACCGGGCCGATCCGAATAGGACAAGCATCAACACCCTTAGTGGTAATAGTGGACTTGCAATGGATATGTACATGCAACATGGTTCATGATAAGGAATCTGCTTTGAAGAGAAACAACTATCCATGAAGATCCTATTCACTATTGAGAGGATTCTTACAGTTGCTGAAGTCTGAGCTTGATTTACTACAATTGAAGCTCAGTTTTTACTTTGGGGGTTATGAAAAAAAATCTGACATTTTTCTTTGGTTGAATTATATATACGACGAGAAACTGTAAGGATGCAATGAGATTTAATGTATTGGTTCGTGAATTGCAGTCAAGTCAGAAAATATTCGGTACTGTAACAGAAAGTTTGTTCCATTTTGATTTATGATTCTATTCGGCTTGTCTAATTTTTTTGCCATTATCATTATGCCTTGCATCACAATTCTTTATTTCTGAAAATATTCATTTGAAATAAATTGTTGTGCTAATATTTTTTTCTCGATTTATATTTTGATTGTATCTATTTCCCCCTGTTTTCTTATAGTGGTGCGGACTATGGAGTGTTCAGAGGATTGCCGCATGCTTATATGCTATTATTTTTAGATAATATTATAAATTAGCATTATGAAGCTGGTCAAAAAAGTTAACATGATGAAGATGCTAAAAAAAAAAAAATTTAGCATTATAAGCTGTGAATAACATACATGGTACCATTACCCAGTTAAGATTTATAATCTATAAAAGATATTATACTATTATTCTTGTACATTATTTGATTAATTTACTTATTATTTTTATAACCAAGAATTATGATTATGAATGTTGGTAAAGTGTAATCTCAGTAATAATGACTATAACAAGGGTTTAGGTGTTAATGATTAAAACAAAAATAAAATACTCATTTACAATATAATTTAATAAAACCTAATTTCACAATATATTTTTCAAATCAAAATAATTATTCTCACATAAGATCGAATCTTACTGAATCGCACAAGTAGGATTCTAGCTTTTAGAATTGTTGGACAATGTTATCCTTCAAATTTAGTTTATTTCTCCTCTGCTTCCTCCACCTGTTAACATGTCTTCCTCCACTCTTTCCCCACTCGGCTTGTGTCACCTATAGCTTGAATGTAAAGACATGCATTTACTTTTATCACTCTCTTTGTAAATAAATTGCATTAATTGGCTTCCTGTCTGTTATATTTTTTTATAAGAAAACTAAGAGAAGTTCAATTTCAACAATATAAATAATTTGTCTCTATAACTGAGAATGATTATTCCCAACCTTGATGAAGCTGAGCATGTGCCAATTCTCATCTAGTTTTGTTTTACACGTTGTCTCAGGCCTACAAATTGAGCGAGAAGATTTCAAAAGTGAATAAACTTATAGATACTCTTTCTTCTGTTATACCTATTTGAAGTACAAGTTTCTGGAATATATGGGATTCCAACAAACTGAAGGAGGAAATGAATTGAGACGTCAAGGACTTGGTTTTTTATTTCAAAGTGGAAGCAACAGTGTGTGCCCACCATCTGAGGCTATCTTTCATATCAATTTCCTTGTTCAGAGCTGGGACTCTCCAATTCATCAGTGAGCTCTGCTTCTTTTGCTTGTCCAGAACTTGCCACGCTTCAGAAAGGTAAGGTCTTTGGATTGCAGAGTAATTATCAGAGCCATCTTCTTTCTCATCTTTCTTCCCTAACCTTTGCAGCCCAGGAATAATGGAAGCCAAGCTGGAGTCCTTATCTTCTTCTGAGAAAACAAAGCCCAGATCCATGAAACCTTTTAGCTCTTCAAATTCCAGGTCCGACAAGCTCTTGTTTGCCCGTTTCTTCCTTCTCCTTCTTGCAGTACCCTTATGGTCACTAGGCGACACTTCAAGATTTTCTCGTGCTGTCTCTTTAACTTGTGGGTCTGTGACTTGTTTTCCTGAGATGATGGTCTGGAGATCTGCTTGAAGAACAGAGTTTGGGGAGAAGGTGTCATGCTTGTTGAAAGTTGTAATGGAGCTCAGCTGATCGCTCAGTGACCTTGTATGCGTGGTTTTGATACGCAAAAGCTTCGGTTCTGATGATTCTTGATCCATTTTGTGATGTGGGTCTGATAATGAACTTGATGTTATACGTGAACTTGAGTTTTCCTCCAGGATTTTGAGCTCAAACCAGCAAGAATCGTATAATTTCAAGACTTCCTCTGCATCCATAAATTCAGGCTTTCTTAATTGCAGGTTAGCAGCAGTTAGTTACCTCTATATATACACAGCTTTATTACTAAATTGCCCTTCATGTCACTCTGAAATCACAAGTCAACAACAATCCAACCAACTATTTACATGTTTCACATTTAAAGTTTTTTTGCATTAATAATAAACTTCCTCAAAAAACAACCTTAAATCTCATTAATTATTTAAAAATTTAAAAAAATGTAACTTTATCTCTATTAGATACTCTTTCTAATCCTTATTATAGGACATCTTTTAGAATATTTTTTTGGTCTTGTAATATAAGATACTTTATGAGATATTAATTATGTTTTTTAGTATTAGCCCTATTTAAATTTATTAACTATAAGATAGAATGTAATGTAAATATGAATTCTTTCATTCAAATAGGGGTAAAATTAGAAGTTGAAAGTTTATTTTGTTTTCAAACAACATTAATAACTTAACTAACTCTTCTTGATTCTAGTGAGTTAGTTAAAGATGCTTTATAATAGGAATAAAAAGGAGATAAATACTTTATTTTTTTATATAAAGTATAAATACTTTAAAAATAAAATACTCTATCATTTAATAATGATAAGAATAATAAAAAATAGACATAAATCATAAAAATGCCTTAAAAATAAAATCAAAATAAATATTATCTTGTTTCGTAAATAAAAATAGAAGAGTATATGCCGTTGTCTTGTAGCTCTTGCAGGGTAATGTTGGTTTTTGTTAGGAAAGGGAAGTGTGTAGAATGAATGAGGTTGCTTGAGGAAGAGGCAAAGCAAGGTTGTTTGTAGTATGACTAAGGATGTTAACGGATAAAAACATGGTTGTGGCCTTGTTCATATCAACCACCAATGCCTATCTTTTTCTGTTCTCTTAGATGCAGACATTTCTGGGTCATGTCGTTTTTCCTGTTTCATAATCACACCATGTTTTCATGCCCAAATTAATGGCTTTGCCAGTGGCAATTATTGATAGTTGCTTCCAAACTACTCAAAAATCATTGTTTCTTAGATTGCTTCACCTAAAAATGACGTTCTTTTCAACATTTTTGCTTCCTCAATTTGCATTCGTACAGACACCTTCCTGAATCTCATGTTTCTCTGTGATGAAATATATCAGAAATTTATGTCAATGATTTTTTTTTCCTCTTGTTCAGAAATGTCATAGTCTCTCACCGTTCGTGGAAGTAAACTAATATGTTTGATTGTTAGGTTGAGAGCTGAAAAATGAAAATAATAAGATTTGAGTACACATCAGGGTGGTTATGATTTGATATTAAATTATGGTAAACGTGATTAACGATAGCACAACCTTCTAATAATTTAGTTGCTTTTTATGGTTATCTATATAATCTCGAGTGAAGCATTTTGGCCCCCCAAAAAAAAAATCATAATATTTCATGTCTCTAAATTTTTCGCCCTCTCTGCCGGTTGTATTTTTTGGCCCCTCTTCTGTTCACACTTCATTCTCAATGGAAGTCAAAACTGGAATTAATAAAGGCTAATGATCGAGTGATGCAACTCTTGTACATTCAAATTCACATTGGCGTACAATATTTAGGTTTTTTTAAAATTAAATTAAAGGATGGAATTAGAATAAATACACAAATTAAGAAATCAAAATAATAATCGAGCCTATTATTTATTGCATATGATAAATTAACAATGGCAAAGTACATAAAAAAGAGTGCTTGTATAATTAATGAGAGTAGGTTTAATGAAAGAGGTTAATTTTTTATAATATAACGAATGTTTGAATCCTGTTAGAAGTGCTCATATAGTGTTTGGCTGCGTCTTGAATAGCTCCAATAAAAGAATAATTCGAGCAATAAAAAAGCAAAAAAAAGATTGCTTGTGTATAGCAAATTGTAAGAGGGTGCAGTACAGTGTGTGGCTGTATGATTGAAGAATGGAAATGAATGTAGCGACGCCCCCAAGGGCATTTTGGTCTTCCTACCATCAAATGTCAAGGGGGGTCCTTAGTCAACTTTTTAAATTAATCAGACAATAAATACGTTGACCAGGAAATCAAAAATGAAACATGTTCTTTTCTTTTTTTTTTTAATTTCATAACTCCATTGTCTTCTCACAGTTTTCACATTGCACTGTATGAAAAGATTTAAATGCTTTTATCAATGTATTTGGTCAAAGTTGAATTCTTCATTATTTTCATGAGCTCAAATCAAATCAAAATTATAAACTTCTCATTCAATCCATATCTGATTTTTTTTCCAAATAAAAAATGTTATTGAAACAAAAAAAAAAAACCCCAAACATGATGTTTTTTCAATACAAGGTAACAGAATATTCTTGCAAGAGAGATACAAAAATTAGGTCATGTCAGATTTCATAAAAGATCTACATCCCGTCCTGAAAGCAGATAATTAAAAAGAACAATATTTAAATTGTCTAGGGAGGCTTGGTGAGCAAACATACCAGCATATCTATTAACTTTATTGAATAAGTAATCAAAAGTGATGGTCCGGTTTTTTATAACAAAATTTTTAACTTTTTTGATAGTTTTTAAAAGAGGATGACTATAAAAAAATTATGTTGTATGAACAAGAACATCCATAGAATTAAAATGGATATTGATTTTAGTGAATTGCGCATTCTATCAAAATTAAAACCCTTCTAAAATGCCTAAAAGTTCAATCGCAATGTTGATTTAGTAGTCAAAATATTTGAGAATTCTTTCAATCCAATTTTCTTTCTTGTCCCATATGATGCCACACACAAGTTGCAAGGCTGTCTGATCTGATAGAACCGTCAATGCAAAGGCCACAGTTTTGGGCACCAACACCGTGAGTCAAAAGAACAAATTAAAATAGGATCATGAACTGAAAAGAAGCTAGACAATGTGCAAGTGTGTGGAAAAGAACATAAACCTCGTATTGTCTAATGAACAAGACTTGTTGGCCTTTGTGGATATAGAGATGTTGAAGTAAAGTTTGCGTGTGAGTGAGTGTATTGCCGGGCAAATCTTCTTTGGCAGTGAGGTGTGGGTCATGAGTCAGAAGCTCAAACCAAAAGATCATCTGCCAAAGAAGTAATTGCCCTGTAATTCACTCTCCCATAAAATGGCTCTCCAGCTTCCTTGTTGATCACTGTCAGGGTCACCATGTCTATATATATATAAAGTTCACACGTATGAATACACACTAGCCATTGGATATTCTCAGCATGTCCTCTCTGCTGTCCAAGTTACTAGAAGCAAGAAAGAATTAAAGTGGTCCATGTCTTGTGCCTTCAATCTCACTGTCCTTCAATTCCACTTTCTTTGACTCGGCATATTTCACTTCTCAGAGTTTATGCTGTTTCACATGAAAAGTCACTATTGTTTGAGCTTTCTGTGTTCTTCATATCAAAACTCAAAAGTCTTGCGGATTTTTGTTTGCTGAGGTACACGGGCTTTTCTTTTTAGCCAACTACAGTACATAAGGTTTAAGTGTTAAAGAATATGCTCATGGCTTGATCAATATTCCGTATTTGCTTTCTTTCTCTCAATCTGTTAATGAGATTTTTCAACTACATAACCAATTTTCTGGAATTTCTTGGTATTAATGTTTAGGCAGTTTAAGAAAATCACATGATGTTTAAGTGATCGACTCGTGGTCCCAGTTTAGGGATATAGTCATCTAATAAAGCACTAAGCATAGATCGGTAGCTAAGCAATAGCTAAAAACCATACGTGACTTAGAAGATTAAGCAATATCTTCCAAAAGCTTACCTGCGGAAAAGTTATCATAAACACATAACCAAGCAGAAGCATATATAGTTCAGAAATCATTTACACAATTTTTTTTTTTAAATTTGGATAGTACTAGTAAGCAAAAGTGAACAAAAACGCTACATGCATCTAGTCACAGTAATTCGTTTTCTCGAGCTAAAAAAGGTTGGTGTCTGATTGAGTCTTTGCATACAAAACCTACAGATCCGTAAATGCTGGTTTATGTCGCATACTTTTATGAATAATGTCGGCATAAACTGATAGCATCTGAACCAAATGCAAAGAGGAAAGATTGACACAGACAAATCCATGAATTTTCATAAAGAAGTGATGGAGAGAGAATGGGGACCAAAAAATCATATATATGAACGAGAAAGAAACTTGCCAAAGGAACCCTACTAGCATATGCTGCTCCTTCTTCTCTTTTTCGAGAGCATATCCAATAGAAGGTGCGCTTCACTTCCCATATATATAGAGTTTCCGATGTATCATGATGTCTCAAGGCAGAGATTTGCTGTTGAGGAATGACAGTGCAATTCTCCTTTGGCAGAGGGAACATGTAGATTAGCTCTTCTGGTTTGCCAAAGGAGAATTGCCCTGCTATTTCTTACAGCTCATGTTTTTATGATTTATCATATCTGCTATGCCTGTCTGATTTCCATGTTCTGCTAGAAACATGTTTCAGCTTCTTGTGGTAGTATAATATAAATGCTTGTAAGTTCCTCACTAGCTCTCCATTAAGGTAAATTATTTGTTTGTTGGAGTTGTTGAATATATATGCATCTCTGTTGAAACTAAATTCTTCTTTCATTGTGTGTGGCAGGAGATGCTGAAGAACAATATGAAGGAACATATCAGCTATCTTTGAACAATATCCATGACTGTCTTAGAAAGCAGCCAGAAGAAGAAGAGGCTATCATTCACAATTGTGATGAACTAATAATAAAAATTGAAGTTTCACTTAGTAACATTCTTTGTCTTCTACTTTTCTGGTGTGCCGTGTGAGTGAGAAGTCAACTACCATGAATGAACGAGTTTGTTTCTTTCAAGACTCAATGCTGCAGATAAATAGACCCTCCAGTCCTAAATATAGGAGCTAAATAATTAATTCATAGTGATTAAGGAAATTAGTTAACTAAGTTATTTGTAAAAAAATGAGTTGGTTTCCCTATATAATCATTTGTATTAGAATACCTCATTAATGAAAACCTCCTTTTAATATGTGTAACCAGTAGGGATGGTTTAAAAAAAAAAATTATAAATTTGAGAGACAAAGCGAACTAAAGTCTTGTAACAGAAGCAAACTTCTCAACTAGCGCATATATTTAAAAGACAAATGGGTGTTAATGTAGTATACTGTAACATGCAGAGATGGCAGATCTTGAGTGTCATCAACTCAGATCTTCAATAAGCAAAGATAATTTTGCAATGTATAGCCACTGTTAATCGGTATTGGCTAGAACAACAATTTTAATAGCAAATTCAATGCGTCACGTCGGCAAATTATCTTCCATAAAAGTTTTTGCCCTTCTTAGCAAGGCGCTTTTTATCGGTTGGATCGATGGATCGCCAATGAAGAAGAACATCGTTTTTTTTTTTGCCCCTGTAACTGTCGGAGATCCTTTTAAAATTACTTTTATGTCCTTCCACTGTGCTGAAGGCCTGAAGCCCCTGACTTTTCCAAAGGGTCATTACAAGTGGTAGAATTCAACTTGTTTTTCTTCTTAGTAAAATTAGGAAGATCTGAATATGGGATATTTTATGTCTACATGTTTCTCTTTTCGGCCACTTTCCAACAAAAGGTGACAAAGACAAGAATAAGCTTGTCGGGAAGGAAGATCCAGAGGCATGTGCTCTCTCTCTCTTTGTCTGTATATATGTGTTGGGAAGGAACATTTTCTACTTGATGTGGTTTTTTGTACTTTGCATATCCATATGTATTTGACCCGTACGAACCTTTGCTGAAACTTTTATTTTGTTCAACTGCGACTTGGTCAAGAATTTGTGAAGAGCTTTACTCCTACCGTTTATGATGACGTGGAGAAATTACAGTTAATTATATTAATATATGTGGAAGATATATACCTGTCTACCACTGTCAGTTTTGGTACTGGAAGAGAGACAAATCTTGCTGTTGGCTTATTGATACGTCTTTTTAACTGAGGTGACAGTATAAATATATTAAATCCAGATACATGGTCAAAAGCCCTGTTCTCAATCTCTGTTGAAGCATATTCAATATCTACAGTAATCATTGGTTGGAAAACGGAAGGAACGCTAACTCCGCAAGATTTAACATGGCATATGCGATATGTCTTCTTCGGCATATCCAAAATATTTTCTCATTATTCCTTTTTTATTTATTTTGTCAGCAAGAACTCGCCCAATCATAATGACAAATGATCTGTCATTAGTCCTTTCTGCTTTCTTCTTTCATGTCAGAAATTATTTGCACAATATCAGATCTTATATGTTTATTATCTCTCTATATGTGTTTAAGGTGAACTTCAGATGAGGATTATTTACCTGAAGATTCTCCTAATTAAAAGTTGAGTTTCACAGAGACAATGAAAAAGTCATGCAAGAATGAAAGTGAAACTTGATAATACATCATTGAAATACTGAGGAATGATCTGTGGCATATGCCAATATAATTGTATCGAATATCCATTACTGATATGAGAATGGTGCCAGATCACACTGTGGGCCTTGATCTGGAAGCTTGGCAACCCTAGCAGCACAAATCACCAAAAACAAAAACAAAAGGGGAAAAAAAAAAATCCATGCACGCATGCAAGCTATGTGTATATATATATATATATATTATTGGTTATAGACGAGATTTTCAAAATCTTGGATTAGTCCACATCCTCATTCAGTGACCCTATGTGAACTCGTAAGGGCATGAAACTATTGGAAGGAGCTTTCAAATTGTGATTTTGATTCCTGTTCCAGTGTTCTCTATGGAGATTCTTTTCTTCCCCATGGTGGCTCCAAATATAATAAAACGCAAAATTTTGATTCTATGTATGCGAAAACTTGGCGCATGCAGCTAGCATGCTTGGTGTGTACTATATATATCCTACCTAACCTCATGGAGCACTTGTTTGGCAAATTCTCTATATCCAACGCAAACTTTAGTCAAGCTCAAGCGAAAAGGTTGTAATAAAATTCTGAAAGGTTAATCGATTTATTGGTTACTGAACATGTTATATACCTGCTGGTCTATTGATCACTGCACAGCACAACACAACAGAGCACTTGATCAATTTTTGTGAATTTGAGATTTGGATTGGTTTTGACTAATTTATCCCACAAAGATCTTGTTTACAGGAATGCACAAGAATCAAACGCGCACACATCAGCAAATTTCCATAAGATATCCAAGGCACTCAGAAGAAAGAAAGATGCACAAACCAGCATGGTCAAATATATGATTCTTTATATCATAAGGCCATGCCATTGCCATGTACTGGGTATGGTTTCATATTTTCAAAGACTATATAGCCATCCCACCATGACTGTGCAGACCTTTAAATCAACAGTATAAATTTTTCAAGCAGCTGAAGCAAACCATAAGACCTGCCAACAGAGCAGTTTTAGTAAAAAGGAAAAATGACTTAGGTTACACAAAAACTAATTGATGCTACTTATAAGAAAACACAAATGTACATCAGAAAAGTTCCACTAAGTCTAATGCCTTGCAAATGAATCGCTACTGAACTTTAAATAGCGGTGGTTGTATATACGCAAACAAACGTCTATGAAGTGCATGTTTGGTTCCACCAAAATGCGGTTTTTGTTTGACCGTGAAACAAAACACAACCGAAATCCAAGTTGATGAAAAAGAGTAAACAATTAATGATTAATTATGAAGGGAAAGAGATGAGTAGCAGCAAAATTGCTGGGCAAATCCCCTTTGGCAGTGAGCACACCAAGCCATGTTTGAAACCTGTAATGTACCTGCCCGCCAATAGGGAACTTGCCCTGTAATGTAGCTGCTATATATATATATATATGTATGTATGTACGTATGTGGGTATGTATATGAAACCTGCTCACAGGCACGGCCCAACCCTCTTTCTTCTTATTTATAACTTTTTTTCATTCAGCATATCCTTCGGAACTATCCATTTCACCTCCCTTTTACAATGTGGTCCCTTACTTTGCACTCTTCAAAATATTTACAGCATATCCTCTGTATGTGCTTTATAAGTCCATCTGTCAATATTGTCTTCCATTATCTTAATTAGTTACTTCCTTACATGTTCTTCTTAAGCGCAACTTTGAATAAGAGTGAGTGTTTGTGTGTGTTTAAGCTGAATATGCGTAAATTGACGAACTTGAAAGTGCCAAATGGCAACATCATCACTTGGAATATGAACATAGTATAAAACAACTGAATGTGAACGAAGACATAATTGGTTCGTCCTGCATGAACTTGTAATGTACGGTCTTTTTTGGGGGGGGGCCACGTAATGTAAGGTCAAAATAATTAAACTTAGATTTTCAAAACAATTATGACGTATATTATTAGAATATGTGGTTGTCGAATGTGTGTTTTCCAACGTAACTTGATGGGAATCTGATTTCCATGGGAATGACAGAGAATAGACCGTGAATGATGCTGCTGTGATATATATATATATATTATATATTATATTATTTTCCGCTGCTAGATAGAGAAACCACAAATAACGGAGCCAAAAGTTGCGGAAACTTGGAAACTAGAAGCGGGGCTTGGATTATTTGCATCTTATACAAATCCGTGGATTGGAGAGTATTAGAGATTAAAAAAAAAAAAATCCTCCATCTAATATTGAAAGATATATCATGAACATATAAAATTTGGGATATGTTTTAGCTTTCATGACATAGATTATTTTTAAGCATATTTGATATAAAATTTGACATGTTATTAGAGCCATTTGATGGGAACCAAAAAAAAAAAAACGAATGAAGAGAAAGGGAGAAAAAGAAAGAAAAAAAATGAAGTTAAAAAGAGACTAAAAAAGAAAGAAGACAAAGAATTAAACAAAAAATAGTTAGAGAAAATATTAAATATAAATAAGTCTCACATCTAATAGATCATGAATATATAAAGATTGAGATATGTTTAAGCAAATGGCTTAAGTTATTTTAGTAAAATAAATTATTTTTAAATATACTTAATATAAAGAATTTTACAGGGAATGCAAGAGAGAATATAATTCGATTTATTTGAAGCACACTACTGTTAAAAAATGTAACTAATTCATGGGATTTTATTTAGATCCCATGGTGCTTCTTATCATTAAGATTATCTACAGCGAATCTAAAATCATATCTTAGCTGTTTACATTTCATTTGTATCATCATTTCTAGTTGATATAGTTAAAAGATTGTCATTATTTCGTATCTTGGTTTATTTAATCAAATTTATTAAAATAGTAATAGATTAATAGAATGTGGGACCATTTAGATTAAATATCAATCATCCGGTTATTGTTGTAGTTATTGGTCCGGTAGCTTTACAACAAGATTATCTCCCAAAAAGGGAAAAAAAACATCGACACTTGTGGATGGAAATACTTGTAATTCCATGTTTTATTTTAAAGCTGAATCGTAGCATCTTACATAGGTTGAATATAGAACAATCAATATATCAGATCAATAAATAATAACTTAATATTATAACAGCACGCCGTCTTTAAAATAGGGAAACTTTTCATCCAATTGCTGTCTTTGCAAAAAATTTTCAATAAAAAATATTTCTGAAGAACTGTTGAGAAGGCTTGGTTAAAAAAAATAAATCATTTTAAAAAGTTTATTTTCACACATATATAAATAAATAACCTGGACACCCCTTGTCCCATTGTTCTAATTGCCAAATTATGTTGGCCGAATAAAGTTGCCAAACAATGACATTTTTCTTTGTCATTTTTACTTTACCTTTTTTAAGTAAAAAATCCCTGGGATAGCAGG